GGAGGGGAGTGGAGAAAGGGGACGGCTGGAGCAGGAGTGATAGTGATGGGAAGGCAAGAGATATGAAAGGGTACTTTCCTGTCCTTCCTCACCAGTCTAAGTGGTTGTCTCTATTGAGGCAGATAGAAAAAGTGAAATTAGCTGAAGATACGAACTTAAAGCGGGTAAGTGAAACAACCACAGTTGTTTTAATTAAACTAAACTTCATTAAGCTAAATGAAGTCCATTTTAAATTGAAGTGTGTTCTCACAGAAGTTCAGTCCCATTCAGAGCACTGGATGCTGCTGCAGTGTTGATAAGGCTGTACAGAGACCTTCTTCAGGAGCACATGCCATTTTAGGTGGGGTCAAGTAGCCTCTTGCCCTTCTCACTCTGATCCTCTTATTCTTTTCCAAACCCCAAAGGAAAAACAAACAAACAAAACCCACCCTGCTCTAAATGCACAAGGTCACCTGATACAGATATTCCTCCATTTCCCAGTGCAGACAAGCCCTGAATCTACCAAAGAATGAGATACGGCAGGTTCTCTTTGCAAATAGGCAATGACTTGGTTTTTGTTGAAAAGCCATCATATTCTTCAAAATATTTCAGGGTAATCTAAAGGTTCACTGTCAGGTAGGATTTCAGTTTTGCCTGACTTCTGCAATTAAGTGTGGGACCTGAACATGAAGACCACCAGATCAGCCTCAGATACATCCTGCATAATGTTTGACCTCACCTGAAGCAAATGAAAGGTTTGAGATGTACAGCAAAGGTTTTGCTAACAAGGAAACTTTCAACCCAGCAGAGCAGACTTCTAATAATGCCTGGCTCGTTTCCCTTGACACAAAGGTTTTGAACATTTAGAATTAGAAATTATTCTGATCTACCTATTTAAACTCTTAAGAGCTCATCTATTGAGTACATAGCTGCTGCATTTGTGCATGAGAACAGCGAGTTGTCTGGTAAGATCCAAGCCATTTGCTGACTTCTAATGTAAAAGAAGTGGATACTCTTGCCCAGCTTGAGCATTGTTTGGTTATGGAGAAATGACGATTATAAATTGTGTTTATGTCAATCTCCTCTAATTCACTTGAGTTTTCTGTAAGCCGTGGAGTCTGGCGCTGGTGGCATCTGTCATTGTGTTCACCCACTGAAGTACACCTAAGTCCTCCTTAATTGCACGTGAAACACTTATCTTACAAGAGGGGACAATCAAACCCTGATGAAAGCTGGCTATCAGCCTGATGAAGGAGTGTCATAGGGGATTTTTTGGTATTGCTGCCAGGATAAATAGATACTAAAAATACTATTAAAAATTCACATAGTGAAAGCCTAAGTAGAATATTGCTATATGTATCCGTCAGACTAATGGAAATATTTGCATTTAAAAAAAAGTTTGTATTTGCTCATGTACCTGTGACTTTTGGAAAAGTACATCTTGCAATATAAATAAATACCCAGTGGTAAGTTGTGTCTTAATGCAGAGGTTTGAGAGATTTCTTTAGTAAAAATGAAAGAAATATCTGTATCCTTTCGTTTCTGGATGCTGCTTTTGGAACCAAAGTGAGAAAACTGATTTATCTGGTTTTTTTCTTTTCTTTCCAAGCTCCAAAATCTCCTTCAGAAAAGACTCGGTATGATACATCACTTGGCCTTCTTACAAAGAAGTTCATTCAGTTGCTGAGCCAATCTCCTGATGGGGTCTTAGATTTGAACAGAGCTGCAGAGGTCCTCAAGGTGCAAAAAAGGAGGATTTACGATATCACCAATGTACTGGAAGGCATCCATCTCATTAAGAAAAAATCCAAAAACAACATTCAGTGGATGTGAGTATTCATTATCCTTTTCCATTCCTGCCGGCTGGTTTCACTGTCACAGAGCAGCAGTGTTTTTCTTCTCCCACCTTCCATTCTAACACTGCTGCAAGCAATCATCCAAAATGCCTTCCATCAGGATAAAGCTTTCTTTTTCTGTTAAGACAGGTTTTCAGTGTATAAGTGGCATTTGTCAGGGAAATTATGAACCAGCATTTTGTCTGAATACTGGATGAACTCATTTGCTTCTGCAAGTGGAGTAAGTTTTTAGGTACACATCTCTACCTGCTGTCTTCCTCGGTCTTTTTCAGGGTGTGGTTAGAGGAGAGAGGAGTTAGAAGCAAGATTTTGTAAGCGTTTAGGAGTAATTTGACTTTTTCATCTCAGTGGCAGTTCCAAAATATGTTGTCATGATTAAAAGATGCTTTTTCTGGGAAGTGTAGTTTATGTCACAGAATCACAGAATCACTAAGGTTGGAAAGGACCTTCAAGATCATCAAGTCCAACCATTAATCCAGCGCCACCATGTCCCCTAAACCATGTCCTGAAGCGCCACATCCACACGTTTTTTGAACACTTCCAGAGATGGCGACTCCACCACCTCCCTGGGCAGCCTGTTCCAATGCCTGACCACTCTCTCAGTGAAGAAATTTTTCCTAATATCCAATCTAAACCTCCTCTGGCGCAACTTGAGGCCATTTCCTCTTGTCCTATCACTAGTTACTTGGGAGAAGAGGCCAACCCCCTCGTCGCCACAACCCCCTTTCAGGTAGTTGTAGAGAGCGATAAGGTCTCCCCTCAGCCTCCTCTTCTCCAGACTAAACAACCCCAGTTCCCTCAGCCGCTCCTCATAAGACTTGTGCTCCAGACCCTTCACCAGCTTCGTTGCCCTTCTCTGGACACACTCCAGCAACTCAACATCCTTCTTGTAGTGAGGGGCCCAAAACTGAACACAGGATTCAAGGTGCGGCCTCACCAGTGCCGAGTACAGGGGCACGATCACTTCCCTACTCCTGCTGACCACACTATTCCTGATACAGGCCAGGACGCTGTTGGCCTTCTTGGCCACCTGGGTCTGCTCACTCTGGGCAGGTTTAGGGAGAAGGGGCTTGATCTGCAGCATAAAACCCTGCCTCTTCACTTTCCCATAGCACAGGGTCATGTTTTACAAATGCTGAAAGGGTGCCTCTGTATCCGTAGGGGCTGCAGTCTGTCGGAGGACGGTGGCATGCTGGCACAGCGTCAAGGTCTCACGAAAGAGGTGACCGAACTGACTCAGGAAGAGAAGAAATTGGATGAGCTAATCCAAAGCTGCACCCTGGACCTCAAGCTGCTAACGGAGGACTCTGAGAATCAGAGATATCCTTTTTGCCAAAACTCAAAGGTGGTCAGTCTCCTTGCTGTGCCCTGTAATACTAGGACAATTCCTCCAAGTACTATGATACAAAGCATCAGAAATTTCAGAAGTTGGCTTACGGATTTTAATGTAGTTTTATATAAATTTACTTAAGCCACTTGCACCTGTAATGCTTCTGGTATGTAAAAAAAAAAAAAAAAAAGAGTCCATTAACATCCACGTTCACATAGAGCAGAACCAAGAATTTAGCTGATTAATGAGTGACAACATCCCAACCCCTGTGCTTTTTTGACAATTGTGAGCCTAGAGCAAAGCTCTTTTTTATATGTGCAGAAATTATAAAAGCGTGCACACAAAGTCTTTGCTAAGGTAACAGAGTTGTGCGTGTGTCTACTCATTACTTAATTTTTTTTTTTTAATTAAAGTGATGTGTACATAAATTAAATGTCTGATGTGCACAGAGAGGAAAATGAAGTTGGGAGTTCAGTTTAGTCTGAAACTTGCAAGAAAGTTTTAGATTCCTCTGGTTATAGAATCTGTAATAGAATATCAGAGAGAAAGGTTTTATGAGCTCTCAAAATGTCTATTTTAGACTGAATTACTTATTGTAATACCAATGCTCAGTTGCATAAGCTTCATATGATTTCTGGTATTTTGGCTGTTAATACCCCTTATAATTAACCAATTCTCACTTTCATTAGATTTCCCGCCTATTAGTGACAGAAGAGAGCATTTTATTAAATGCTGATGTAAAAACTTTTATAACTGTAAATAGTCAGTAGTTTTTAAAGAGCGTCTAATAAAAAAGTGGACTTACTTTCTGTTTGGAAGGATAGAAAATAACTATGAGAGAGTGAGTAAAAAGTAATATGAACTGTGTAAATATTCTCTTTGGACTGTGCTTACATCTCAATGTATGAAAGCAAGATCACCGAGTGGCACAGGGGGTAGGGTCAGCACCGCCTTCAGCTAAGAGCTTGATCCATTAACAGATTTAAGCAAGACAGAAATGAGTATTATGATTCTCTATTTTTCTAGTGCTGAGTCTGTGGTAGAGATCCCTGCTGTGCTGGCTCCCTTGGGAGTGGGTGAGGAGGGAGCAGCATTGGCAGCGTGTTGGCCTCGTGCGTTTGGACTTAGGAGAGCGTATTCCCCAAATCCTTCTGTGACTCTAGATTTACTGATAATGCTAGTGATTATTGAGGAAGGAATGCAGAAGTGTGAAACCTGGGGACAAAACTGAGTGTGTCGCAGTACTGTCTTTCACTCTCCTCCCTGCAGTCTGATGTGAGATGACCTGCTGAATACTCATGGACCTTCCTTTGCTTAATCTCTGAAGACAAAGTTTCTGCTTTTGAAGTTTTGGGGTTTTTTTTCCCCTCACAATTAGGTAGTGTGCTTCCTTGTCTCCCTTATAAATAAAATCATGAAAGTAACTGATGGGTACCTTGAATATTTTGGGATATACCCAGCATTAGCATGGGGAGCTTTTAGCTACAGAAATGAAGATGGTTGTTGCTTTATTTGAAAACCATGGCATCCTTTCCTTTGTTCATACAGTGACAGCCACTGTTGCTGTAATTTGTACTCTGCCTTTGCAAACCTTACTAAACGACTGGTAAAAGCCTTGATAAAAGCCATTTAGATGAAAGCTGACCTGTTGTTTTGGCTCCTAACTTGTTTGGTCCAAGTTACATGTGGGATGTGTTGGGGTCTTGAGCCTGGGCAGCCTGTCTTGCTGTACTGCATGGTAACGGTACACATTTACCAAAATTGTTCACATTTACACCCCCCAAAAATACAATCATAAATCAGGCTTTTTATTTCTATGGTGTAAACATTATGCTAGATACTTCACAGGTGACAAAACTAATGAGCTGGAAGCGCTTGCATGTGATTGTGGCCATTTCACAGCTCTTTTCGCAACCAAAAGCACTGTGACACCTCAGTTACATGGATCAGTACATGAGGCACTACTGTGCAGTAACCCACCAAAACACTCATGTTGATTTGGACAAATTCATCTTGAACAGCAAAATATTCATATTCATTGAATGCTTATGCAGAAACTGACCTTCTACACTGTCAAGTTGTTTAAAGTAGTTGTTTAAACAGGTTTTTGAAATAATTTTATATAATATAAATTAATATATAAATAGATGACTGTTGTATAAATGTTTATACATTTATATGTTTATGTATATGTTGTATAAATGTTTACAAAAAACCCTCAAGTGAATCTGAAATTATGATTTTGTTGGTAACTTCAAAAATATATTGTATATGCACATCTATAACATGCATCTGTAAGTTCCTTTACATTTTTTCTGTGATTTCCAGTTCTCTGCATTTTGATAGCAAGTGTGTTAAAAAAAAAAAAAAAATCTGCTTTGTGCAGTCTGTGAGTAATTTCAGGTTGTTGAGCTTTACCTTTATGTAGCTTTATGCGTGTAAAGGAGAAGAGAGAGAAGCACTCGGCACAGAGAATCCCTTTTGTCACCTGGTAGTGGCCCCAGCTGTTAGATCAAAGGGAAGTTCTCACACAGTTTCACTGCAAGCAGAAGCCCTGTAAAGAACAGAAAACTTTGGGCTAAGAGCAACTTAGCCACGAGAAAATGGAAAAATAATTCAAAGAGTTCTGCCTCTTCTAATAGTCTGAATATATTGTAACCCAGGTTGGAAAATTCCTTAACAGTGATTACATTAGCTTATGTGACGTATCAAGATATTCGAAAAATTAGTGGCCTTAAAGACCAAACTGTTATAGTTGTGAAAGCTCCTCCAGAAACAAGACTTGAAGTGCCTGACCCAGTGGAGGTAAGGAGAACCTGGTGTTTCCTGCCAGGTTATATATAGTTTTTCTATAGATGGAGCAAGTGTGTTGTAAGCCTCACTCTGGTAACTGAGGCCCAAGTTGGATTATGTTGGCGTACAGTCCTATATTCATCTGTCTTACAAACTTCAGAGATTTTTTTTTTTTTTAATAAAAAAGGAAAGGGAAACTTTAAAAATTAGTTTACACAGGGCAATCATTATTTGTTCCTTTTCTCTCAATTCCAGCTTTCCTTTAGAGTAATCCACACTATTTACAGATTATACTCTTGTGCCATACTTTATGTAAAGGAGAGCTCTTCCTTGACAGTTGAAATTCCCTGTTTGTAACCATGTAAAATCTTTCTCTTAAGAGATTCAGTTCATATTTTTTAGTTTTGTGTAGCTTTAGTCATAAAGTTGATGGCTAACTCAATGCCTTAAGCATCCTAAATGACTCATATTACTGATATCCTAATGAGATGTATGTTTTCATGTAGCGTTTTCTTTTCTGAAGTATTACAGTTACTCGTAGAATCTATTCTTGTTCTTTCTTCCATCATCTTCTTTGCTTCATTGACACTGATTTTACACATCTGTGTAAAACTTCGTGCAGTCTGCTAGTGCGCTTTTTGTTTGCTCTTGTGAAGAAAAGGGATTTCCTTTTCTATTTTACTGTAAGTACTTCTATTTCTGAAGCTGTCTTTGTTTATGTGTGTCCCTCTTCTGTTGTCCCTTGCTACTCAAGCCACAGTCTCTATCTCTGAGTGTTTTTGTGTATGAGATGTCTGGCTCTTGTCCTCATTTTCTTTCTTTTCCTTATCTCAGGTAGATGTCTAGGGTGACTTAGCTGCTTCTCACTTCCCTTCCCTTGTGTCACAGTTCCAGAGAAAAATGCTTCAGGTAGCTTTTCTTTGAAGATATCCTCAGGAAGTAGCTTTACTTCTCTTCACTCCTGTCATGAACCACATGGTTCAGCTCATCCTGTGATTTTATCTCTTAGTGGCAAACGTGTACTGCTTTACAATTCCCAGTTACTATGACAGACCCAAGTATGTTGGGCAAACATAAATAATTTGCACAAGCCACTGCTTTAGAGGTTTAAAAATGTACCTAATTTCTTCTCTCAGTGAGCAATTACAGATAGGGCTAACGCCCAGAATCCTTCATGCTGTGTTCATAGAAGTAAAGAATCATAGAATAGTTTTGGTTGGAAGGGACCTTTCAAGGTCATCTAGTCTAACCCCCCTGCCATGAGCAGGGACATCTTCAACTAGATCAGGTTGCTCAGAGCCCTGTCCAACCTGACCTTGAATGTTTCCAGGGATGGGGCCTCTACCACCTCCCTCGGCAACTTGTGCCAGTGTTTCACGACCCTCGCTGTGAAAAATTTGTTTCATACCTCTACAGTATTCCTTCATCACTGACATGGGACTGGTTTCACTGTGCCCAGGGCTACCTGCTGCCAGGCAGGAACAGACTCCACATTCTCTGTCACTTCTTTTTGTAAGATTATTCTCCAATTGCCAAGGCCCATAATGATTTCAGTCCTTTTTTTTTTTTTTTTCTTTTGTCTGCCTTTGTCCTTAATTTCCCCTTTGAACCTAGGTGGAGGTTTTAGAAGAATAAATAATTTTGCTGCAGCAAGGAAGGGATATCTTTTATCAGTATCCATAAATATCTGCTGTTATCGTTGCTTGCTTTCCTGTTTCTTTCCCCTAGGCATTACGCTTGACTTTTTAATTGAGTGAAATGAGGCATGTAGAGAGAGATGCACACAATCATTAAAGCTAGTGCCTAGACCTCCCTTATCCCCTATACCCAACTTATTAATTTACTTTTCAGCTTCAGGCAGTAAAGTCCTACTTCTTTCTCTCATTTGCAGTTACATTTCAGTGTCTTTTTTTGCATACCTCAGTCATTCAACAGTACCTTCTCCCACTCCAGCTCTTCCTATCTCCTTTTTTCTAGCATTGTCCTAAGTACCCTTAACTGTTTTCTGTGCCCTGGGGTATCCCTGTTCAGCTGTGGGTCACTGTAGTTGTAAATGCTGTCTATTATGCTACGTAACTGTCAGAATGCAAATAATACGAGGGCACAATAAAATGTATTTAAAACAAGTCTGCAAAGAGGTATATAATGCCTGCATTCATGCTTTTTAAAACTATTAATGCAATACAGCTGGAGCAGATTTATTTTTAACTGGAGTAATTTATGATTTTCCGTCATACCACTAAGAGCAACCTTGCAGATTTTCTGTCTGTATATGTCATCTTCTTGTATTGAATCAATGTCTGAAAGTTAAGAAAACATGATTTCTTGAGACTAATTAGGAGTTCCTGTTATTCAGAAACACCATCAACGTTAGAGTTGCTGCCTTGAGGGGGCAGAAGGACTTACATAAACAAGTTTGGGTGAAGAAAATGGCACGTTTTCTTTTTTTTGTTATTTGGAAAAATTTCCCTGATGAACAGGTGGACTTACATACAGCTGCTTGAGTTGAGTATGAATTAGTGCTGAAGGTTTTTGGGTGAGAACAATGTTTTGGCATTATTTTAAAGCAGAAACATTTACACAAATACATCCAACAACATTGTTATGAGTAACAACAAAACCTGTGAACTGTATCCCGTAGTTCCTTTCCATCAGAACACTGCAGGTTATTGCGGTTGTAAGAAAATGTTAGGAATTTGATCCTTTATACCACTCTGGTTATGATACAGCACATAAAATGTTGGGCTTCTGAGATTTGTGTGCTACAGACAGTGGGAAAAGCTTTTATGTTCTCTTCCCGCCTACAAGATACATCAGCCGAACCTTTCACATCTTCAAAAAAATTCACAGGGGATTTCAGGTTCTTTTGATTAGTAAAAAAATGTATTCAAACACTCACACCCCGGTAATTTGCTCCGTATTGTCAATATTTTGTCATGTTCATTGGTGTAACACCTTACTCATGTTTGTTTTGTTAGCAGAGTGCATTGATACATTTATCTAGTACTCAAGGACCTATTGAAGTTTATCTGTGCCCAGAGGAAAACGATGCCCTCAGTCCAATGAAAACCTACAGCCAGGACCACAATGGAAATATTTCCAAAACCATTTCCAAAGGTAAAATTATTTCTTTGTAATACTAATGGCCTTCCTTCACGCTCTCATTCAAGATTTCATTTTGAACTTCAGATATCCAGCTCTTATTTTTTGGTTTTATTTTTCTAAGAAGTGAAAAGCTAAGGTACTGATTTTCCACTGTGCCTTTCTGGTTTATATAGTGGGAAGTATGTTTTCCTCTGCATCAATCATTTAAAACAAGTTTCCTATTTGCATATCATATGTAACCAAAGTTTACACAATATTGAAGAAAGAAACAATTTTGTTCCTTTTGCATTTTCAAAGAGAATGGTAGCAGCAAAGATTTGCTTCAATACAAGAGGCAAAAATCTCTGAGTATGGGCATATGCAGCTACACAGTCACTGATGGCATCTGTTGCCTACAAAGTTTTCCCTTTGACTATGAATTCCAGCAAAAGATGGGCATTTCTTACTCCACTTGGTTTATTTTTTTGTCCCCCAGTAGCTGCTTAAATGTTATAAAATAATTTTTTAGTAGAAAAGTTGGTGGTGATAGCAACATGAGCATCTTTGAGAAGCCCTTTGTAATATATCAAAACCAAGTTAGAGATCATATGGAGGCCGTTTTTTGTTGAGATGCTGCTTTATGAAAGGCCCTTTATGCAGTGGTTACTTTGATCTGTGTCTAATATTTCTAATGAGATGTGTCATCTTTATTTTTTCTCTCCCTCCTCTTACAGAAGTGGCTTCTGCTAACTCAGGACAAGGTGACTGCTCAGTAAATATGGCAACAATCTCTCCATTGGCTTCTCCAGCCAACCTTCTCCAGCAGACCGAGGACCAAATTCCCTCAAACTTTGAAGGACCATTTGTGAATTTGCTGCCTCCTCTGCTTCAGGAAGATTATTTGCTGAGCCTTGGGGATGAAGAAGGCATCAGTGACCTCTTTGACGCTTATGATTTAGAGAAACTTCCTTCACTGGTGGATGAATTTATATACAGCTGATTCTCTTAATTGCTGTCCATATCTAAATCATGTTTTTAATGGAATCAAAAAACCTGCCATCATTCAGAGTTGTCCCCTACTTACTATAAAATAGCATTATTAAATAAACTAGGCTCTTGAACAGTGCTGATATTTTAATTAAGTACTCCCCCAGATACTATGAACAGCAAGTGAAGGCTTTTACAGCAAGGCCTTCTCCCTGACCCCAAGTTCCAGCGCCTTGTGAGTCAGCAAGTGCAAGCAGGTGACCGTAAATGTTTTGTCGTCACACTCCCCCAGTCTCTGCTTACTGTGACAAGTGGGCTTACGGAGAAGGGCTCAATGAACTGGTTTAGTCCTAAATAACAATTTTATAATAGTATTTCAGGTCGTGCCTTCTGCAGAGAATGCATGTCTTTTGAGTGTCACAACATGGATTGTACCTGCAGTGAACATAAATATGAAGTAACGCAAAAGTGTGAAATGGGATTCTTCAGCTATTTGTGGGAATGTTTAAATTGCTGTCATAATGCTCATTTTGAGCTGTGTATGTGTCTCATTATGAGGTCAAATACTTATGTCCTTAAAAGCTTTTAATAAAAAAAAATACACTTGTAAATGTAGTGTATATTGCAAATATTGAAAAGTATAAAGTCTGCCACTTCTCGTAGTAATCACAGATTTTTAAAAATGCTTGTGTGTGTGTGTGTGTGTGTGTGAAAATAGTTTCTGTTGGTTGTTTTTTTAAACTAGAACGAAGATGCACAGTTCAATTTTACTGCCCCCAGTGTGTGTTAGAACAGGTACATAAATTTTTGTGGTACTAAGTGGGGCTTTGTGTTAAGTGCCTACTAGAGATGCACTGTGGGTTTTTCCCTCTATGGAAAACACTTATGCCAAGCTTTGTTCAATATATCATATTTATCTCAGTGGGTTAGCTTCCTCTGCTTACAGCTTTTTATAATTCTCTTCGCCAGCAAAATGGAACTAATTTTTTTCCAAAGTACATAACTGTAAGTACCACATCAACTGAATTGCATTTATTTTTTGAAGATCTTTGGTAGTATAGTACCAATATTTATTTTTTGAACGTGAGAAGAATTCTAAGAAGTCTTAAATAATTTTTTTTTTTGAGTGTAAAATATGTTGCCATGTTCTGGACTAAATTAATGTAATGTTGATTAGATGCCCATATAACCCTTTTGTTTGCATTACTGTTGTGCTTATCTGACATACTCAGAAAATCAGTACTATTTGTACTGTAGTAGAATATTATGTACGCAGGTTTTCTGGTACCATTGAGTTGCTGCTATGAAAGCTCACACATGAAAAGGCAAACAGTCACAGTACTAATAAGAAAACTGTATGACTGTGTGAGTTTCGGAATATAACAAATGTATAAAGGGCAACACATAAAGAACTGTTAAACAGTATTAAGTGTGTGTTTATATGTACAAATGTGTGCATAGATCATTCAGCAGTTGTATTTAAGTTGATATATGTTCTCAACTCACACTTTAGTTATCTAGCAGTTTTGTACAATAGAATGAATTTGTAAAACACTGCCAGAATATTTTCTAGCTGGTTTGTAATTTTTTAAGAGTTTTTTTTTTAGATGTGGATCTGTAAATAAAATTGTAGTATTTAAAGTTTTTGTCTTGTGGAAGAGGAAAGTAAAAGTTGTGTGAGCATGAAGATTTGTGAGACAAAGGGGCACTTTTGTGGGGGAAGAGAAAATGAAGACTAATGCAGACCATCTTTTCTTGTACAAATTAAACACTTGTCCCAATGTGCGTGGGCAAAATACTAATCTAATTTAGCTTTGCATTTTATGCTAGTTTAAAAAAAAACTCTGTAAAATACTGTAAAAAAAAAAACAAAACAAAACAAAAAAAGCTTTTATGGTGAGTTTTTAGAATAGATTTATTAAAGGATGACCTGTTCTCTAGCTGTGATCTTACCACTTCAAATGGATGTAATTTGAATAAATTTTGTATGGTAATGAATCAATAAAAAGGATTTTTTAAAGAGTTTAGATTTGTATACAGCTATTTAAATTCTTCTTGGTGCCTATCATGCTGCTTCTTGGAACCTAGCTGTTGCTATTTTCATTATTAGTGCTCACACATTTAACACCAGATACGTTTCAATCCCTTTTTTTATTATGCTAACAAAACGTTCAGTGTGTTTTTTAAGTCAGAATGAAACAAGAATAAAAAAAGACACACGTAAAGAGACGTAGTAGGAGATCCAGGGGTTAGGATAACACAGGTTTGGTTTTATTTATTCCCCCTATATGAATTATGAACAGACTTCTTGCAAACTTTATAGAAATTTAGTTATTCTAAGATTAAGGGACATGAAAGCAGTTGTTGAGGATCTGTTTAACGTTCCTGCTGATAATTCTCCAGAAGTCTCCTAATAGTAGCTTTGAAAAGAAGGAGTCCTGTTTACTTGGGTCATCTCCAACTGTCTCCTGCAGCAGACATGCATTTACAAGCTTGTTCTACCTTTCTGGTCTTGGCGTTGTACCTTTCTAGATGCATGGTCATCAATTACTAAAAGAACCAACTATCAGGATAATAAAATCACAGTCGTAAGGTTGTTTCTTTAAATGTTACACTTCTGAGCAAGTCATACGTGTCTTGTCATCTTCCTTGCACACAAGGAGAAGGCTACTATTTTTCCTCTTTATGTGCCTGTCCATACTCTTAACTTCTGCACACAGCAGTACTGAAAGGAAGATCACAGAGAAGATCCTCTCCTATATTCCAAATAAATACTACAAGATGGCTCTAGGACTCCGTTCTCTGATCTCCCTTTGAAGCAGAGATGACAATAAATGTCCTCTTTCTGTCCTATCTTTCATAACTCCCTGGCCTGTTAGCAGTTTCTCTGCTATGGATTGCCACTCCTCATGTCGTTTTCTCTCCTCATCCTTCTGCTTTCTGTATCTGCTCTATAAACTTGGGACGTGTTGAGTTGCAGGAAAAAAAAAACCCAGCCAGTTAAAATACTTAATTCTGCTCCCCTGAGCTAGCACAGCGTACCTCAACATTATTCAGCGTACAAATATTAGTTTCAGGGAGGCTTTACTGGGGCCTGTATGTGCTGCATTCCTTGGCTGCCAGCAGATGGAAAAGGAGTCTGAGAAATGTCAAAACTGGAATGAGTGATAGGCAACTACACGCTCCTTTACACACAGGAGAGAAGTTTACTCCCAGGGAGGCCACTTCTCAAAATTAAAAAAAAAAAAACAAAAAAAGGAAAAAAAGGGGGTTCCTGCCCTTGAACGTACAGTGAGAACTCATCCACCTACAGATGACAGACACCATCAGTTTCTATTCTTTCTGACTTATCCCTGAAATAGTAAATTATACCAATGTCTTGATGCAGACAGGTGTTGTTGTAGAAAGAAAGTATGGAAGATATGCAAGGTTTTTTTGTAGCATGAGACATTGCCACATGTTAAGAAGCCCCAAATTTAGCAGTGTCTGCCAATTTTTTCTGTATGCAACAGTTAATGCAGGGTGCTACTGGTGCTCCTGGAGCCAACAATTCTCAAGATTAAGTCAACCAAGTGCCTGTATAGCAGAGCCGATGGAGTGTTGGTAACAAAAGCATAAACACGTAGAATTCATCTACCCATTTTGCTTTTCTTGCTGAAGCAAGATCTGCCTGGATACTACGCTACATCTAAGCAAAGATCAGCAGAATGCTTTGCCTTTACTAAGTTTGGGAGTTACTTGACGCATTTTCTTTCTAAAACTTGACAGGGAGAAAGCATCATATCTAACAGAAAAAAACACGTTGCCATCAATTCTGAGTGGCGCTGAATGTTGCTGACAAATGACCAGCCAGACTCTCCTAAATTGCAGAAATATAGGAAGAAATCTAATTTCTTGTATTTAACTTTAGGACTCACCATTTTTTTCCTGTATGCCTTCCCACTAACTTTTCCACCCAGGCCTGCATGTTAATTATCAGAGAATAAGGCTGGCATATAAAAATTGGGCCCTCGCTTCCCTGTTTCCTTTCTCTGAGGATGTTAACTGAGATGTGCTAAAACAACTAAGGATATATCTTCTACTGACCATCAACTAAAATGGAGGTTTATATTTTCTTTTCCTATTAGTTTTTGTGTTTTCCTACTACCTACTCCTGCAAAACCTGTAATGACTTAATATGATAACCCAGGCTGAGGCTGGTGTCTTCCAGTCTACCACCCCTAAAGAGTAGGAAGAATGATATGCAGGAAACTTGGAAAGGATGTATTCTAAAGCTGTTCTTTGGACATTTGAGGAACTGGAGCATGCATATCACCAGTCAATGAAAGGCCAGTACTGGGAGCTGTACTGCTAGCCACTGTCTCTTATAAAGCAGTTTTCCCAGGTGGATATAAGCTTTCTTCCCACAGTCAGGAGGTGGTAGGGAATCATCTGCTTCCCTTGCTACCTGCTGCACTACCAGCAGCCTATGTGCAGCTTGATTTGTTATTACAAATATGCTACAAAGCAATTTAGATTTGTGAGCATCAAAAGCACTTAAAGGGTGCCTTCTATGGCGTGGCTACCTCCTAGAACTGAATAGGACTGTGCTGGCACAAGGGCTGCTTGATATTATGAATTCTTGGCAGCGGGACAAAGTAAGGACTCTGCCGGATCAGGCTGAAACTGATCAGCATGGCCTATTTATGTCACTAGGTATGGGACTCATGGGTTATTCCTGCCTGGGAGCTGCTCTTGGAGCTCACTGCCTCCCCTTAACAAGTAGTGTTTTGTCTATCTTGGCCATCTGGAGATTTTTGGATATGTCTAGCAGGCTACCTGTGCTTTGCTTTTTTAGTCAACCATAAAACAGCACTGATGTCTGCCCAGTTCTGTTTAACCAGAGAGATAACACTTGGCTAGTCAAGATAACTGTAGGGTAGTGCAGTGCAGTGCTCCCAGAATAAAGAAGTTTAATTCAATGACTGGATGTGAAATACTCAGAAAATTGAATATGGGAAACTCAAAAGGAAGAGAATCGCTAAACTTATCAGAAAGCAGTTAAAATACTGATTGGTTATCTCTTTCTCTCTCTCTAGTGTGTTAGTTACTGACATACTAGGGACTACTTACACCGTACTGTGAAGGAGGATGTCTAAAATAGATTCATGCGACTATTGATTTTAAGATGTTTTTCCTCCATTTTCTGCTGGGCTAAAAGTGTTGCAAAAATAATGAATTGCACATCACTTACAGTCTCACTGAGAGTATCTCTGAAAAGTACTTGTGTGCTTAAAGAAAGACCAATCAC